TTTTTTTTTACCGTGTTGTTATGTCCCCGGGCGATACGTTTCCATGTAGAGTTCAGGAAAAAGCTTTTTCAACTCAGTCAATTTCATTCCTATATCGCATTGTAAAGGCATGGAGAAAACACTGAATGCAGAAAGAGCGAGCGCAAATAGTGATTGACGTCAAGTCAATTCTTGTTCAGAAAACGTGTTTTTCGCCTTCCATGCATTGTGTAACCCTGTTGATCACCAAGTGACTCTGACGACTGACTTTCCTCTTGGAAAATCAAGACACACTTACGTTCACTATAACGAAGCCTTAAAAACTGCTGAAGTTCCCGAATGGCCAAGAAAACTCTGTTGCTGCTCGCCCTGGTTCTGATGAACAACGTGATGTTGTTTGCGCAAAGTAAAAATTTGCCTTTGGTCAAGAAATCGTTTCGACGCCGCCATGTAACATATCGTAAGTATATCTCTGTGTTTTTGTTTAACTAATTTAAGTACGCACTCAGTGCGCTAATTTATGCTTTAAAGAACTTTATTCCAATTATTGTTAACTCACATTTGAAAACGAAAAACAAAAAATAGCAACCTTATTTTTGTTATTTTTGATAGTGGCTAGTTAGAGCTATAACTTTTCCACTTCGCCATCATATAGTTTAAATCAGTACATTCGAACTCATTTTCATAACTTCTCAGATTCTATTTCAATTGGAAGACAAAATCTATTTCGCTAATGTTTTGTTACCTAACGAAGAAAAATGCAATAAGCTGATTAGAATTTTAATCGGGACAATAGTTAATAGACTTCTAGTTAATAGAACACCTTATTTTGTATTATTCTATGGCTTTGCTCCAACTATTATTAGACACATTCAGTTAGTGTTTCACGGGTAAATGCAATGACTATGTTTTGCGATTACTTCCTTCTTTTCCGTACAAAAGAAAACTGACGCACCGCAGACATAGCCGGRAAATTTTCCATCAAACGTTTTTTTATTTCTATTATTCTAAGTATTAGTAGTATTATTATCACTTAATCAATTTATAAATTGATTTGTTTCTTGTTTCTCAGTGCCATGCCCTAATGACTGGGTCAGCTATAAAGGATCTCCATCCTGTTACAAAGTGCCTCGTCGSCTAACCAACAGTTGGTTTGATGCGCGAAAAAGCTGTATAGCAATGGGAAGTGACCTTGTTAAGATTTCATCAGATCAAGAGAACGACTTTGTGGCTTTGCTTGCGCACTCATATTTCCCAGTGACCACCCACCTGATCTACCAAGCAGCATGGATTGGTTTAATTTCAGGTTAGTAAAATTTATACAACTTTTCAGTAAAATCAGACGTTTTGATTGGTTGGCTTTCGTGTGTTATCAAAGTATAGATACACGGATTACGTCAAAACTAATTGTTTGTTGTATAAAACAGATAGATCTCATTTTTCCGTGCGTGTGTACTCTAATAGATACACAGATGACGTCAAAATGTAGTGAGTACAACAGTCACGCACTCGACTGCGTCTCGTGCGTACTTTTTTGTTCTCACTACATTTTGACGTCATCTGTGTATCTATTAGAGTACACACGCACGGAAAAATGAGATCTATTTGTTAAATAATGAATTCTCATCCAAAAATATCATGCTGCAAATCAAAAAAATCAGACCAAAAGCTAGTAAGCGCCTTTTTNTTTGACGAACAATGTCGTTGTTTAGAGCTTACGAAAGAAAAGATTGATTTTACTATGGACAAAGATTTATTAAAAGCAGAATAATAAAAGTATATTTGGGTTAATTATTTTAAGCGCAACTACTCAAGAAGTCTGAATGCTATTCTTCTTTTTATTTTTTTAGGTGACTATGAATGAATTTTTTATATATTGCATCACAGTTTGCCTTTGTCCCTAACCAAATTAAAATGCGTTGAAAAAGTCATTTTTAAATCTGTTATATATAAAAAGATGGTTTCTGAGTAAGCGAGCTTCGCGGTAAGGTTAACCAGTTTATGAAGGATTAACGGCTCGGAGATGATCAATGCTCTAGTGATGCATAAGGAAGGACTGACCCACATAGCGATGTCCGTCCATCGTATCCCGGGTGCAATATACTTTCACGAGCTGCATTCTCCTCAGTTTCTAAAGTACAAAGTGCTCTATTTCTCTGTGGAAATCAAAACGTGAAACACAATTTAAGTGTTATTGTCAAAGTATCAAAAAGTCAGGGAATAATGAGATGTAGTGGGATATCAAGTTAATTAGTATAGTTAAATGATTGTTTTTGTCTTACATTGTCTTATAAATGTTTTTTTTACTGTGTTGTTATGTCCCCGGGCGATWCGTTTCCATGTAGAGTTMAGGAAAAAGCTTTTTCAACTCAGTCAATTTCATTCCTATATCGCATTGTAAAGGCMTGGAGAAAACACTGAATGCAGAAAGAGCGAGCGCAAATAGTGATTGACGTCAAATCAATTCTTGTTCAGAAAACGTGTTTTTCGCCTTCCATGCATTGTGTAACCYTGTTGATCACCAAGTGACTCTGACGACTGACTTTCCTCTTGGAAAATCAAGACACACTTACGTTCAATATAACGAAGCCTTAAAAACTGCTGAAGTTCCCGAATGGCCAAGAAAACTCTCTTGCTGCTGGTCCTGGTTCTGATGAACAACATAATGTTGTTTGCGCAAAGTAAAACTTTGCCTTTGGTCAAGAAATCGTTTCGAGACCGTCATGTAACATATCGTAAGTATTGACTTCTAGTTGTGTTTCTTAATAAGTAAGCACCCAGTGCGCTAAATTATGCTTAAAAAACGTTATTCCAATAGTTAACTGAAAAGAAAAACGAAGAAACAAAAATCTTTATTTTTGATAGGGGTTGAGTTCACTACGCCAAAATAGTAGTTAAATAAATAGATATACTCGAAATCATTTTCACAAGTTCTCAGTTTTATTTCAATTGGMTAACAAAATTTTGTTTGTTAACTTAGACCAAAAACGAAATTTAGATTATTAGAGTTTGTCTACTAACTATTGTCCCGATTAATCTACTAGTTAATAGATAGATGACCTTATTTTGATTATTCTATCTTTGCTCCAACTGGAGTCTTTAAAACTCACTATTATTAGACTATCCACATGTTAGTGTCTCATGGGTTAAATACGATGACTCTGTTTGCGATTTAACAGTCCCTCGTTACTCCTATAATACCATTATTCTTTCTCATTTCATATGGACATCTTTACTAGCTATATACTGGTCTTTCATTATTCCTTTATTTAAAAGGCAAAATATCGGTGGTCCATGTACTGGATACTAACGAGAGATCGTTTGTTGAATTTTTAATTGTTGTCCTTTTCCACTCTTGGCAACATTAATTGGGAGACAGCGAAAATGAGAACTTACAATTCTATAAAGAAAGYTTTGTTTTTCTTTGATATATCCGATTCTTCATCTATCTCCTTTACGAAAGTATTTTCAATCTTTTATTGGTATTTCTCTCATAGTGCCATGCCCTAATGGCTGGATCACCTATGAAGGATCTCCATCCTGTTACAAAGTTCCATATCAACCAACCAACAGTTGGCACGAAGCGAGAAAGACATGCATATATATGGGAAGCGACCTTGCTGTGATTTCCTCCACCAAAGAAAGCAATTTTGTATCAATGCTCATTCACACCTACTTTCCCAAAACAAGATTTGGATGGATTGGATTCCTTGCAGGTATGTCGATCGACTGAAGCATCTTGCAATGATATTGATTTGTATTTTGCTTTTGATTTTTTTGTTGTGCTTATTTCCTAGTGGAAACTAAGTTGTAGATGATTTGAGAAATATCTCTAATGTTAAGCTTGTTCTTTCAGATGCCAAGCGAAAGTTCTTTTGGGTCGATGGTTCCCCCTTGACAGGTCATTACTTGAACTGGGCAAAAGGCGAACCTAACAATGCGTTCGTCAAAAATGAAGATTGTGGTTCTATTCTTGTTGACAAAAGTAGTATGAAGTGGAATGATCTTTTATGTTTGTGGAGGAGGAAAATAGGCTATGCGTGTGAGAAGCAGAGAGCTAGMGCTAAAGTAGCTTGCTAGATATAGCATCACACCTCAGTGGAAGTAGCAAAGCACTATGTATTCACATCTAAAATGGCATCAATAAAAAGTGATAGATGTGTTAACGTTGCAGTTGTTTATTTTGATATACATAGCTATTAAAAAAGCGAAATAAAACAACCAAACAAATAGTGCAATGGCCATACGGTTAGTAATCACACCGAGTTTCCCCCTTTGAAGTGCCCCATGATCCGAGCGGTTAGTCTCGTATTAAACCGGAGCGAAATATTTTATAGATATTCAAACTTTGGATGACTCATATGCAAACCATTCCACCGTCATTTAACTAGCTAACCTCGTCAAATTTTTTAATTACCAGGAAATTTCGTTTTCGTAGCACTAGGCCTTAGCACTACACACTGACTTGCAAAAATACTGTCATAGAAAAATAGAATTTGCATTTTAGTGAAAAAGAATATATTAAAAAAGACAAAAGAAATCATATCAAGTTAGTAGTTAAATCATTGTTTTTGTTTTATAAATGTTTTTTTACGATGTCCTCAGACGATAAGTTTCCATGACGAGTTCAGGACAAACGGCTTTTAAAAAATCGTCGGAACAACCGTAATTCAATTAATAGAACGAGAGAAGTGGAATAAAAACCGAAATAATACTGTTTGATACACAAGCACTTTGAGATTTCTCGATCGCCTGACGGTGTTTACCCTGGTCCCAGAGGTTTTCTTTTCTCTTCTTTTCTAGATGTTTTTTATCGTATTTTTGTCTTTGTTTTTTATATTTAACGTCGTAAAAAACAAAGACAAAAATACGATAAAAAACATCTAGAAAAGAAGAGAAAAGAAAACCTCTGGGACCAGGGTAGACGGTGTTTCCCGGAAAAGCTAAACGTCAGGCGATCGATTTATTATGGAATAATATGATTGGATATTTATCGATTAAGAATACTTTACGTGTTTTGACGTTCAATATCACTTGTGTGGGTGATAGGAGTGTATCAATAAGAGGACATACACACACCTATGTTTACTATTGCATCACGCGTCTCGCGCGCGCGCTCGGTTGAAAGAAAATAATGAGTTTCGCCAAGTGTTAGACTTAAATATGGTAAAAAAAGACACGAATTATACACGGTTTTTCCTCACACTTTACTCGTGAATTTATTTCCAGCCATTTCCACTTTCTATGTATTTCCTAGTCTTTCGACAGTTTTGACATTTCGGTGTTTAACTTTCTAAAATTAACGATGCTTATTATTTGACCAAATAGAAATTAATTTGACACGGTAGTCCTGTTCTAACTTGTAAAATGCTATATCTTCCGAGAAATCCAGTTTTCTGTTTRCCCTCGTCAACCATTCTGACTCTGTTGCGAGTAAAGTCTGACGACTGATTTTCCGCTTGACAGAACACACTATAACGTTCACTATCGAAGTCTTAAAAAACGTCTCAACATTCCGAATGGCCAGGAAAACTCTCTTGCTGCTGGCCCTRGTTCTGATGAACAACGTGATGTTGTTTGCGCAGAGTAAAACATTACCTTTGGTCAAGAAATCGTTTCGACGCCGCCATGTAACATATCGTAAGTACTGACTTTTATCAGTTAACATTGAGACTCAGTGAGCTACTAATTTTGTAACTAACTCATGCTCAACATCATACCTACATTGATATATTTAATGAAGATCGAGTTCGTCATATTGACTTTCAAAATTTTCMCTTATGCAAACTTGTGAAATTTAGAAATCGATTCCTATGACAGGAAAAATTAGATTATATTTGGGTTTTGGGTTTGGCGAGTCAGTTCTGAMTTATGGAACTCGCCTTAACGGTATYAATGTGGCATCGAAAAGGCAATGCAAACAACACACTCTTTCAGAACTCAAAAAAGAACTAATTAAAATGATATAATTTTACTATTTTTTCATTAGTGACATGCCCTACTGGTTGGACAACCTACAAAGGATCTCCATCCTGTTATAAAAATTCAGATCACCTAGTCAACAGCTGGTACACGGCCCGCAAGGCATGTCTGGCCTCAGGAGGCGACCTTGTAACGCTCTCTTCAAAACAAGAAAACAACTTCGTGGCATTGCTCTCCCACACATATTTTCCTGCTGCTCATAGCACATGGATTGGGATGATTGCTGGTACGTGATTTTTTCATTGATTCGTTTGTTCATTTATTCATTTTCTTACCCATTCATTCATTTTTTCACTCTTTCATGCATACCTTGTTTTCGGTTGTTTGCTCAACAGAGGAATTGAAAGGCAATAAACAGGGGAAATTCCACTGGGTTGATGGTAGGCCGATTGGTCAGTATTTGAACTGGTACCCCGGTGATCCAAATCATGATAAGAATGCAGAATTTTGTGCTTCTATTCTATCATACCGCGGTTTTCCGATGAAATGGATTGATATTCCGTGTGTGTGGACTAAAAAAATACCTTACGTATGTGAAAGAGAGAGAGTCAAACCCGTTACATCGTATTACTGATTGAGTGTAATTAGTTTTCTCAAGAAAATGTAATTGGATATCAAAAGAGTAAAAAGGAATTCAATTAAACCATCCAAGCATGACTGAATTGATAAACTTAATTTGTTTGCTTTATTTACTATTAGGTTATTATGCACCATTTTGCATTTATACCGTATATTTGATCAATCAGTTTTTTTTAGATTAATTGTTAAATTATTTTGGATGTTTACATGTAACCCCGAGGGGGGGGAGAGGGGGGGGTACTCCCATATATTTGCTATACTGTCATAGAAAAATAGAATTTGCATTTTAGTGAAAAAGAATACATTAAAAAAGACAAAAGAAATCATATCAAGTTAGTAGTTAAATCATTGTTTTTGCTTTATAAATGTTTTTTTTACGATGTCCTCTGGCGATACGTTTCCATGAGTAGAGTTCAGGACAATCGGCGTTTTAAAAAATCGTCGGAACAACCGTAAATTCAATTAATAGAACAAGAGAAGTGGAATAAAGACCGAAATAATACTGTTTGACAAGGTTGTATACACAAGCACTTTGAGATTTCTCGATCGCCTGACGGTGTTTCCCGGAAAAGCTAAACGTCAGGCGATCGATTTATTATGGAATAATATGATTGGATATTTATCGATTAAGAATACTTTACGTGTTTTGACGTTCAATATCACTTGTGTGGGTGATAGGAGTGTATCAATAAGAGGACATACACACACCTATGTTTACTATTGCATCACGCGTCTCGCGCGCGCGCTCGGTTGAAAGAAAATAATGAGTTTCGCCAAGTGTTAGACTTAAATATGGTAAAAAAAGACACAAATTATACACGGTTTTTCCTCACACTTTACTCGTGAATTT